TGTTAAACAAAACGGTAAATGAATTCTAGAAGCCTAGTTAGACCCTATAGACTTCCTGTTGCCAGTCTAGTTTTTTGCAACACTAGTTTTATGCAGTTTTTGCTTTTATCATTAGATGAAGATGAGTGTACAGTTCGAAATCCATGTTCCCACACTTGCCACAACGCTATAGGAACCTATTATTGCTCGTGTCCCAAAGGCCTTACCATATCAGCAGATGGAAGAGCATGCCAAGGTAAGGTTTGCTTTTAGATGTCATGTACTGGCCACACTGTCTTTTTATGACAATATTTAGAATACATGAGAGATGAATGTTATTTTATCTTTTATTCTTTGTATTTACATCCCATTTTTTCTTCTATGATGGAACTAAAGCTGATGTCCTATTCAGATACTGACCAGTACCTCCGGTTATGTAACCCTCTGGTTACGTAAACTTTGGGAATGCGAAAGCAGCAAACCCGCAAGTATTTTACTGGGTTTTGCTGCATGCAGAAGCAGTTACCGTATTTTTTGCACCATAGGACGCACCGGACAATAGGACGCACCTTGTTTTAGAGGGGGGAGAACAAGGGAAAAAAATTCTTCCGCTCTCTGCCCAGCGCCCCTTCAGTGAAGCGGCAGGAGGCGCTGCACAGAGAGTGGGAGAATTTTCCCCCTCTTGTTTTTCCGCTCTAAAACAAGGTGCCGTTTAAGGTGCGCTCAGGCAGCTACCTTGGAAGCCTGGAGAGCGAGAGGGGTAGGTGTGCACCGACCCCTCTCACTCTCCAGGCTTCAGGTTCCTTTTGACCTGCTCTTTGGGGCTGGCGGGGGGAAGCCCACCACCAGCCCCAAAGAGCAGGTCAGGAAGCAGCGGAAAGGCACAGCGGAGAGGCTGCTGCCATAGTCACGCGTCACTTCTCCAGCTGGGAGAGGGTCGCGGGGCTATGGCTTCTTTAGCCCCGCACGCGCTCTCCCGGCTGGAGAGGTGACGCATGGCTATAGAGGCTCCTGCCATAGCCGCGCGTCACCTCTCCAGCCGGGAGAGAGTAAGCTGGGCTTCTTTAGCCCCGCACGCGCTCTCCCAGCTGGAGAGGTGACGCACGTCTATGGAGGCTCCTGACATAGCTGCGCGTTACCTCTCCAGCTGGGAGAGGGTAGCAGGACTATGGCGTCTTCGCTCCATAGGACGCACACACATTTCTCCTTCATTTTTGAAGGGGAAAAAGTGCGTCCTATAGAGCGAAAAATACGGTAACCACTTTTGCGCATGTGCAGAAGTGGTCTACCGCCACGCACGCATGCACAGAAGCAGTCCTTAGGTTGCGGAAACCTCGGGATCCAACCAGACCTCTGGAATGGATCCCGTTCGCAACCAGACGTACCACTATATATGTCTTCAGATCATATATAAGATACTAACCTGGGTAATATTCTCATGATAAAATAGACACTGTTTCTTGGCTTGCCTTTATTGCAGATATTGATGAGTGTGCCTTAGGGAGGCATTCTTGCCATGCTGGCCAGGACTGTGAAAACATTATTGGCTCTTACCACTGTGTGGTTCGGTGTGGGACTGGCTTCAGAAGAACATCAGATGGACTAAATTGCCAAGGTATGGAGATAGTGTCGTCTCATCTGCCAACAATTATTATTAAATCACATGAGACTCCGTTAAATAACAGGTTTTTTTTATAAGGGCAGGATGGATCCTTCAACGCAGTAAGGATTTGATTAAAATGTTTCTTTGAAATTTTTGCGCTTCACATTTTGTGATTATCTGATAATCTCTCTTGCAGTTTCCAGAAACACTCAAACAGAGCAAGACGTTTCTTCATTAGTGCTCTCGTTCTTGCCTCAGATCTGTGTAAACACAGGTTCTTGTCATTGATGTTACTTTCCATTTCATGCTAGTTTTTTGCATGGTTTAGAAGCAATGATAGTTAACCGGTAGCCTGAGTTAGATCTAACTCGGGAAACAACTGTTAAGAATACAAAAGGCTGGCAACTCCTGGGTTTTTGCAGCTAGTGAACTGCATGAAATGTCACTGACGTTTCACCTAATGAACTCGAACTGTTAACCATTAATCTCACTATCTGCTGCTCCCAGTGTTGTTGTTTAGTCCATTTAGTCGTGTCCGACTCTTCGTGACCCCATAGACCCAGAGCACGGCCAAGGCACTCCTGTCTTTCCACTGCCTCCTGCAGTTTGGTCAAACTCATGTTAGTAGCTTCGGAACACTCTCCAACCATCTCGTCCTCTGTCATCCCCTTCTCCTTGTGCCCTCCATCTTCCCCAACATCAGGGTCTTTTCCAGGGAGTCTCTCTTCTCATGAGGTGGCCAAGTATTGGAGCCTCAGCTTCAGGAGTCTGTCCTTCCAGTGAGCAACTCAGGGCTGTATTTCCTTAAGAATGGGATAGGTTTGCTCTTCTTGGCAGTCCATGGGACTCTCAAGAGTCTCCTCCAGCACCATAATTCAAAGCCTCAATTCTTCGGGCGATCGGCCTTCTTTATGGTCCAGCTCTCACTTCCATACCATCACTACTGGGGAAAACCATAGCTTTAACTATACGGACCTTTGTTGGCAAGGTGATGTCTCTGCTTTTTAAGATGCTGTCTGAGTTTGTCATTGCTTTTCCTCCCAAGAAGCAGGCATCTTTTTAATTTTGTGGCTGCTGTCACCAATCTGCAGTGATCATGAGCCCAAGAAAGTAAAATCTCTCACTGCCTCCATTTCTTCCCCTTCTATTTGCCAGGAGGTGATGGGACCAGTGGCCATGATCTTCGTTTTTTTGATGTTTGGCCTTTTTTTTTCTTTTTTCTTTGCTGCTCCCAGTATAGTTTGTTAAGACCACAAAACGATCAGCCAGACTTCAGATGGATGATATCGCTCTGTTCCACTATTTGACAATGACCGCTCCCCACTTCAAATAGGGGGCGTTATTTGCGGGGTCAAGCACAGCCACCTGATCCTACACGATCCCCGGCAGTTCAGCCTGGCTTCGCCTCCCCAAGCTGGACAAAAACATTGGTTAGGCTGAGGAAAAAAACAATAGTCATGTGAAGAGTTAAGAAATCCCCTCATCTCATTGCCTCTGTTTGGTGACAAATCTCTGGCTTTGCCCTCTGACAACAATCACTCCAAGTCTGCAGGGTAAGAGAGGTTTAATCATGTCTATATTATTCAACAGATGTTAATGAGTGCCAGGAGTCGAACCCTTGTAATCAACGCTGCTTCAACACCATTGGAAGCTTCCACTGTGGATGTGAACCAGGATATCAGCTAAAAGGCAGAAAATGCATAGGTATGAAATAGACAATGGGGCCTATACACGTAGTTTATAAAGGTTCTCTTGGACAGCTGGACAAAGCCTATTAACTACTGCTGATAAAAAAATCCTCTGGAAATCTAATGACAATTTGCCTTTGAAATGTCTTGAGTAGGTTTGCTTTGAAATATAATCTAGAATGGGCAACATATGGTCAATCAGATATTTCTGAAGAAACCTTAAGGCCTTGAAAGTCTCCAACCTATTGCTAGTATAAGGAACAATGAAGGAACCAAGGTCTAGCGAAATTCAGGGCTGAGCAGGATCTAAACCTGGATTTTCCCACTCCTAATCCTCTTCTTTTCTTTGGTGATCACTCGAAACCAGAGTAAGATTTGCTTCCATGAACACTGTTTAAACAGTGAGACCGTAAGTGATTGGGGAGGCCAATTCTGGATCCACACGTCTTTCCACAGTAGGTTTCTGGGTGGGAGTTGATCATGGTGACGGTTTGCCAAGCGTGCCTTCCTCTTAGCATGTTTCTCCCTTTCGTCCTGAGTTCGAGCATCTTCAAAGCCCATGACACCTTTGGTAAGGCTGTTCTCCAAATATTTTTCCAATCTAACACTCTAGGCCAGGGGTCAGCAAACTTACCGCGCCTCAGACTGGTGTCTCCAGCGCCAATCACACAGCGGGCCGGAGGGCGAGGGAGTGCGTGCCCATATGCTTGCGTACACACTATTTCCAGAGCACTTCCAGGTCAGAGGAGCACTGGAAATAGCTTGTGTGCATGTGCATGGGCCTCCTCCACCCCAGATGTGCACCAGAAATAACACTTGCACATGCGCAAATAACGCTTGCGCACAAGCTATTTCTGGTGCTCCTCCGACCCAGAAGTGGGCAGCCGCGCAGTGTAGTGCCGGTAAGAGCGAACGGCGGCAGTGGGTGGCAGGGGTCGCCGTGGGCTGGATAAACAAGTCCCTTGGGTCTTATCTGGCCTGCAAGCCTTAGTTTGGGGACCCCTGCTCTAGGCACTACACTACACAGGGATTGGGCTCATAGGAAGTTCAATTCCTTCTCCACTCATGATAATTTCAGCTGCAAAGGCTAGATTCCACTGAAAGGATCTTTTTTGCTATGCTTTGTAAGACAGAAAGACTGGAAGTTCCTTACTTAGCAGTTCTTGGTGCTAGATGAGTGTTTCTTCTTCAGGCAACTTACCGTATTTTTCGCTCTACAGGACGCACCAGACAATAGGACGCACCTTGTTTTAGAGGGGGGGGAGAGAAAAAAAATTCTCCCCCTCTCTGCCCAGGCCCCTTCAGCGAAGCGGCAGGAGGCGCTGCGCAGAGAGGGGGAGAATATTCCCACTCTTGTTTTCCCCCTCTAAAACAAGGTGCCGTTTAAGGTGCGTTCAGTTGCCTTCAGGCGGCTACTTTGGAAGCCTGGAGAGGCGCTGCGCAGAGAGGGGGAGAATATTCCCACTCTTGTTTTCCCACTCTAAAACAAGGTGCCGTTTAAGGTGCGTTCAGTTGCCTTCAGGCGGCTACCTTTGAAGCCCACCGACCCCTCTCGCTCTCCAGGCTTCAGGTTCCTTTCGACCTGCTCTTTGGGGCTGGCAGGGGGAAGCCCACCACCAGCCCCAAAGAGCAGGTCGGGGAGCGGGGAAAGGCACGCAGCGGAGAGGCTCCTGCCATAGTCGCGTGTCACCTCTCCAGCTGGGAGAGGGTCGCGGGGGGCTGCTTAACGAGGGGGCTGTTTTAGCTTCGGGAACACATCCACAGCCTAGGCAGCCCTGTGGGAGGTCCTGCAGGGATGTCTAGGCTGCGGATAGCAGCCTGCTTCCCAGAGCGTCAGGTGCCCTGAAAGCAGAGCGCCCGGCACTTCGGGAACACATCTGCAGCCTAGGCAGCCCTGTGGGAGGTCCTGCAGGGATGTCTAGGCTGCGGATAGCAGCCTGCTTCCTGGAGCGTCGGGCGCCCTGAAAGCAAAGCGCCCGGTGCTTCGGGAACACTTCCGCAGCGTGGGGAGCCCTGCAGGAGTTCCCCACAGGGCTCCCCACGCTGCGAATAGCAGCCTGCCACCCGGCGCGAGGGACGCCCTGAAGCAGAGCGCCCCTCGCGCCAGGCAGACATCCGCAGCGTGGGGAGCCTTGCAGGAGTTCCCCACAGGGCTCCCCACGCTGCGGAAAGCAGCCCCCCGCGACCCTCTCCCAGCTGGAGAGGTGACGCGCGGCTATACAGGCTCCTGCCATAGTCGCGCGCCACCTCTCCAGCTGGGAGAGGGTCGCGGGGAGCTGCTCTCCCGGCTGGAGAGGTGGCGCACAGCGGAGAGGCTCCTGCCATAGCCGCGCGCCACCTCTCCAGCCGGGAGAGGCTCACGGGGCTATGGCTTCTTCGCTCCATAGGATGCACACACATTTCCCCTTCATTTTTGAAGGGGGAAAAGTGTGTCCTATAGAGCGAAAAATACGGTAATTCCTCTGCCGCTTTTGGCCCAGGACTAGGGCCTGTGGGCTGCCCTCTGCTGACAGCGATACTCCCCCTGTGGCATGAGTGAAGTGCCCATACACAGCCCTTGCTCTGGGTTGTGGGGAGGATCAGCAGTGGTTGTGACTCCCTCCCCCTTACTAAGCTCTTTTCTGCAAGGGTAAGGGCTCACTAATTGCCCATAGCGGTCCTGCTCTACCTTGTGTGTCATTGTCCATCTCCTCCATCAATAGGCACCAATTAGCACTTCTCTACGTAGCTGAGATTTAACTGTTGCTCAGATCTACGTATCTGGCCATGCTTTGCAAGCCAAACTCATGCCTTAACGACAGTTGCAGCACTACAATTGCAGATATAAGATATATTTTATGATGTGAAAAAGTAAGTTGATACACAACCTCGTCTCCCTGCCAAAAGCCGATCAGCGGTGCCTGCAACACCCTCTGTCTCTGCCCACGTGGATTGATGTAAAACCATGTGGGCAAAGGAAAATGGGCCACCCGAGGTCATTGTGATGTCAGGTGATTGACAGGCAGCAGCCCCACCCATGTGCCACAGTTGGCTAACGGGAGATGGGGAAGGTAAGCATTTGACCCATTGGCCAGATCTAATTCTCCACCCTCGTCTTAAGGCGAAACATGTTTCTACAACACCCAGAAATGCAGCCCAAGTCAGATGTGACAGGGTGAACTTTTGCTGCACGTCTCTGTTAATATCTATTTCACGTGGCAATAGGAAAAGGTCAAATCATATGACCTTGGTGCCACATGCAAATTGTAAGCCGTTTTCTTCTGAGCAACTTAAAGATTTCTTCACAAAAGTATATGGGAGAGGGAGAAGTTACGTAAAACGAGGATTGCCCTCATAGCCCAAGAGGTGAGAGCTTAATGCTATCAGTTTAGCTACTGAACCTTTTGTCTTCTTAAAGATGTGAATGAATGCAGACAAAATGTATGCAGACTTGATCAGCATTGCAAGAATACACGAGGTGGCTATAAATGCATTGATCTGTGTCCAAATGGAATGACCAAAGCAGAAAATGGAAGTTGTATAGGTATGTATGTTTCTTTTCTGCATTCTTGTTAGACTGTAGCAGAGAATCAGGAGATCTCCAGCTACTTCCACCTCATCCCTCTTCTTCCACTATGTTTGTGAATGTCACTTGTGAACTACGTACAGTGGTATCTCATGTTACATACGCTTCAGGTTAAAGACTCCGCTAACCCAGAAATAGTGCTTCAGGTTAAGAACTTTGCTTCAGGATGAGAACAGAAATCGGGCTGCGGCAGCAGCGGGAGGCCCCATTAGCTAAAGTGGTGCTTCAGGTTAAGAACAGTTTCAGGTTAAGTACGGACCTCTGGAACAAATTAAGTACTTAACCTGAGGTACCACTGTAATGGGTATCATATCCCAAAAATCATAAACATGTGTTCTACTCATAAACAACTACATGAATCAGAAATTGGCACAACACACACACACATGCAGAGTGCTTTTACTCTTCATTGGGGTTTTTTTTAAAAAAAATCTCCCTCATTCCTTCTCAGAAAAGATTGTGCTGTGTATTTTCATTTAAGAATATGATAAAAATGAATAAAAAGGGGATACCTAAATTCCCATATACAGTGGTGTCCGTTCCAAAACCAAAGCACGCTTTCCCATATTAAGGAATGCAAAACGGATCACCGTATTTTTCGCACCATAGGACGCACTTTTTCCCCTCCAGAAATGAAGGGGAAATGTGTGTGCGTCCTATGGTGCGAATGCAGGCTTTCACTGAAGCCTGGAGAGCGAGAGGGGTCGGTGCGCACCGACCCCTCACGCTCTCCAGGCTTCGCACACCTCTCCGCAAGCAGCGGGAGCCCAGCGCTGGGCTCCCGCTGCTTGCAGAGACTTGCCTGCATGCCGAAGCCTGCGCATGCTGAGCTCAGCGCGTCCAGGCTTCGCGGACCTCTCCGCAAGCAGCGGGAGCGCTCCCACGGCTTGCAGAGAGCTACCTGTTTGGGGGCTGGGGTCGGAGGAAGCTTGAGCTTCCCCCGCCCCAGCCCCGCGCCTGGGGAAAAAATATTTTTTCCCCCTTTATTTCCCCCCCAAAAAACTGGGTGCGCCCTATGGTCCGGTGCGCCCTATGGTGCGAAAAATACGGTAATCTGTTCCAGACTTTAAAAAACGACCCCTAAAACAGCAATTTGACATGAATTTTACTATCTAACAAGACCATTGATCCATAAAATGAAAACAATGATCAATGTACTGTACTATAAAATAAATAAGACAGTATTGTAGATGATTAAAAAAAAGTAAAAAAAAAATTCTTACTTGCACTGATGATAGTCATTGTTTGGATGAGGGGCTTTTATCCATTTCCGCAGTCACACAATCAATCCATCAGTAGCTGAACTGGGTTCCACACAGTCACAAAAACAAATTAGCCGAAAAAACCTGAAAAACAAAAATGCAAAATAAATAGCAAAAACAAAACCGCCAAACTTAATCCATTCCGGAAGTCAAATGTTCAAAAACCAAGGCACAGCTTCTGATTGGTGCAGGTGCACCAGAAACAATAGCCGACAGCCGCATCGGATGCTCAGCTTCCGAAAAACGTTAGGAAACCAGAACACAGACTTCCGGGTTTTCGGCGTTTGAGAACCAAGGTGTTTAAAAGCTAAGGTACCACTGTATTAACATCCAAGACCCCAAGAGGAGGCTGAATTCTGGATAGCAAAACACACTCTTATGACAGAAAATCTATGAAAATGGAGGAATTACAAAACGAACAAAATAAAATACAGCGGTGGGACAGCTTTGGGTAACCTTGTAGCTAACCTCTATGTGAATAATAAATATCCGCTATTACAGTGGTGCCTCGCAAGACGAAATTAATCCGTTCCGCGAGTCTCTTCGTCTTGCGGTTTTTTCGTCTTGCGAAGCACGGCTATTAGCGGCTTAGCGGCTATTAACGGCTTTAAGAAAAAGGAAACAAACTCGCAAGAACTCGCAAGACGTTTCGTCTTGCGAAGCAAGCCCATAGGGAAATTCGTCTTGCGGAACGACTCAAAAAACGGAAAACCCTTTCGTCTAGCGAGTTTTTCGTCTTGCGAGGCATTCGTCTTGCGGGGCACCACTGTAAATGTTTGTATACAAGTACAGTTACTTTTAAGATTTTGTGTTCCTTGTCAGATATCGATGAATGCAGAGATGGTACACATCAGTGCCGCTACAACCAGATATGTGAAAACTCGCAAGGAAGCTACCGGTGTGTGTGCCCGAGAGGCTACCGATCCCATGGCATTGGAAGACCTTGTATGGGTAAGTTAGAAGCAGGGGTCGGATAAACATGAATGCTATTCTGGTAACCACCATCTGATTCTGGCTGCTGCTTACGCCTACCCACAAAAGGGTTTAACATGCTATACTGCTTGAAATCAGCAGGCTTCAGCTACAACTAATTAGACCTCAAAGACCTCTTAGTGGGGGGGGGATGAGTGGCTGATTTCAAGCACAAATGCATACAATTCCCAGGGAATGTGACTGTTTAAATCACACCAAGTAAAACTCAGCTTGCATGTATCATGGCTATGCATTCTATGGCATGCATGTTGCAAGATGAATTTGGGACGAATCTTAATTCTGCATGGTTCCTTGCTTTTACTTTGCTCCTTAAGAAGTGGCTAGTTCTCTGCACTGCATATACTTGGTGCCAGACAATGTAGCTTATATCTGAGCTGCTGTTCTGCATATAATGACAAAACTTCCTTGTATATTAGTGCCCCCAGCCCCCGGCCATGTATTCAGTTGTAAATGTGAAAACAAACAAAACAAGCAAGCAAAATCACATGTACTTTGAGCCGGGAGCAGGGATGCAGTACAGCTTGTTCTGCCTTGTCACAGTTCCTTTATCTCCCTTTTGTGACTCCCAAATAAACTTCAGTCCTCCAGGTCGCACCCACATCTTACACTTGGCCTTGAACTCAGTGGGCTCCTTGTTTTAGTCTTCCCACTGACTTTGTAACTTCAAGGCACCACGGAAGGCTGTTGGTCAGGGCCAACATTTTTATCCTGATGCAAATTGGCTAGCACTCTCCTTTACACACAAGTTGGGCTCCACGTCAATCATCTTCTCCCAGAAAGCACAGAGCAGGGATTTAAGGAGGCTCACTCAGCAGAGGTGTTGTTTAACTTCCCCAGGATAAATGAAGTCAAAAGCAAAGATGATCAGCTCAGTGGTGTAAGGATGCTCCCTCAGGTATATAGAGCAGTCAAAATTCAGCCCAAAAGCATGAAGTTTACTGGAAAAAAATTCAGGAAGTAAGCAAGCAAAAGGGTATTTGTAACTCCTAACTTTATACAGTGGTGCCTCGGCAAGACGAAATTAATTCGTTCCGCAAGTTTTGTCGTCTTGTGATTTTTTTCGTCTTGCGAAGCACGGTGCCGGGAAAGTTTTGGAAAAGCTTCAAAAATCACCAAAGTCTTTAAAAACCTCAAAAAAGGCTACCACACCGCGTTCTATGAGTTGCTCCTCGAAGTCAAGTCGCAAACTGTATTAACGGTGTTAAGAAAAAGGAAACAAACTAGCAAGACGTTTCCGTCTTGCGAAGCAGCTCAAGAAACCCTTTCGTCTAGTGAGTTTTTTGTCTTGCGAGGCATTCGTCTTGCGAGGTACCACTGTAAACAAGAATTGTTGTTTGAAAATAACGTAATTTTTGCTCCATAAGACACACCTAGTTTTTAGAGGGGGAAAGCAAGAAAATAAATATTCTGCGCAGAGCATGTAAGTGGCTCTTGCTTTTCTTGCTTTAAAGCAAGCATCGCTTACATGGCTTCTCTCCCACTTTGCGCAGCTCTCACTTTGGTTGTCCATCCCTCCTCCCGCCTCGCTGTAAAAGAGGAGGAGGAGGAGACACCGGGACAGGTGCTTTGCTTGCTTTACAGCGAGGTGGAAGGAGGGATGGGCAAGCAAAGTGAGAACTGCGCAAAGCGGGAGAGAAGCCGTGTAAGCTGCCTCTCGCTTTGCTTGCTCCCGTCCGTTGTCCCTCCTCCTGCTTCGCTGAGAAGCCAGCAGAGCAAGAGCGATAGCTGCGCAGGGGCTCTTGTTCTGCTGGCTTCCCAGCAAAGCGGGATTTGAAGAGAGAGCGGCTCTTGCTGGCTTTTCTGGGAGGTGGGGATGGGATGGAGGGCAGCCTGTCAGTCCCTTCTCCCACCTCGCGGAAAAGCCACCAAGAGCCACACACATGCTCAGCGCAGCTCTTTAAAGAGAGAGCAGGGCCTCCTGCCTGCATACACTCACTCCATAAGACGCACACACATTTCCCCTTACTGTTTAGGAGGAAAAAAGTGTGTCTTGTGGAGCGAAAAATACGGTAGATATTAACAAGCAGCAGACTGATTCGCCCTGTAACAAACTGGATCTCGTCGAGCAGGCTTTCAAGCATCAAAACCCATTGAGAAGGTGGGTCTTTATTCAGTAAGGCAAAATACGACATAGCAAGTGTCAGCACTGGCAGCAGCTTCTTACAACTGGGGTTGTGGCAAGTTAACTGCAACTCTCATCGCTCCTGGTAGGTAGTGGCATTGGTTGGAGATGAGAGAAGTTGTGCTTAAACCCTGCTGGCTGCATCTCCATTTGAAAGAAGCATGTCGGAAGGAGGGGTCCATCTTGCCTCTTTCATTTAAGGGGCAAGTGAGTTCTGCCTTCCTGATCAAGGTTATCTTGAGTGCTGAGCAGGCCTGGGCAGCTCCCTTTCATTCTCCTACAAATCAAGCAGGGAGATTAGAATTTTGAGGGCTCCTATCTGATTTCTCGTAACATCGCTAGCTGAAAATAACTTGAGAATCCATCACTAATTAGGTAACGTGCCATTGTTTGGTGCTGTAATCATTTCCAAATAAATTTACATGTCTGGCACGAAAAGCAGCTACGATAACAGAAAGCAAACCTGAATTTCCAAACAAACTGTTTTTAAGAGTGCTGCGAAATGTGCTTCTTTTGTTTTTAAAAGAAGGGATATTCACTGACAAACGTTTTAGCATGATATCCATTACGTTGCAATTGTGTTCCTTTAGCTTCTTTCAAGGTTCTGTTACTGACTAAACTGCTGCTTGTCTTAAAACCAGCTTGCTGCACCTCTCTGCTCCTTTCCGCTTATTTTTCATTGTTATTTCTTTGTTGATGTTCGCAAGAACCTACAGTTTCTTAGATGGCAGGGAAGGGAAGAAATTTACACTGCGACCCTGTGCATGCATGCTAAAAGTACCCTATTTTTCGCTCTATGAGACGCACCAGACCATAAGACGCACCAAGTTTTTGGAGGAGGGAAACAAGAAAAAAAATATTCTGAATCTCAGAAGCCAGAACAACAAGAGGGATCGCTGCGCAGCGATAGCAGCGATCCCTCTTGCTGTTCTGGCTTCTGGGATAGCTGCGCAGCCTGCATTCGCCCCATAAGACGAACACACATTTCCCCTTACTTTTTAGGAGGGAAAAAGTGAGTCTTATAGAGCAAAAAATACGGTAAGTGCCACTGTCCTCAGTGTGGCTACTCCTGTGTGCATAGGATTGAAGCCTCTGTACTAGGTTAAAGAGTACTCTCTTTGCAGAACAGATGTTTGCAGATCTTAACATGTTCAGAAAGCCCTCTTAGAAAATGGACCTGACACACTTAGGAGCTTTGTCTGGGGGGGCGGACCTAGAGCAATGAGAAGCTCACCCAGGCCTCTGTTTTACTCAATATTTATTGCCTTTTACAGGTCACACAGCATTTGTGTTACTAAGCTTGTCAAGGGCCAAGTTAATGACATGTTTGTGAACAGGAAGACCAGTACATGCATTGTGTGTAGCTCGGGGGGCGGGGAGAGCTTTGTGAGGTCAGGATCACATTTGTAATTTCAGATTGTTCCGCAGACTGATGTGCTTTTTAACGTTTTGTGTTGTCTCCCCCCCATCCCTCCCCACGTCACATGGTTTGTTGCGTCCCATGAGCAGACATAAATGAATGCGAACAAGTGCCTAGACCTTGTGCGTATCAATGTGCCAACAGCCCCGGCAGCTTCAAGTGTATCTGTCCCCCCGGACAACATTTATTAGGCGATGGCAAATCTTGCGCTGGATTGGAGAGGTTGCCAGATTATGGCAGCTATTACAATAGCCATAACTATGCACAGTTCTCCCTCGAGAGAGACAACTACCGGCCTCAGCAATATGTCAGGCACTCATCCAATCTCTACAGCTCCTACTCAGAGTATAGGAACAGCAGAGGTCCCATCTCCAGGACTAAAAGGAATTTTAGAGAGACTTGCCCTGAAGGCTATGAGGCAAGAAGTAACAAATGTATAGGTAAATGTCAAGTGTATGTGTGTATAGAGATATATGTATACATAATATGCATATTCCATAAAGATGTTCATTCAGCTTATTGTTAGGTTGCTTTTGCACACAAATATGATATAGATGCTCTATAATAAGATTTTACCAATACAGTGGTACCTCAGTTTTCAAACCTAATCCGTTCTGGAAGACCGTTCGACTTCCAAAACGTTCAAAAACCGAAGCATGCATTTCCAGAAGCATTTACTCACGGAAAACTCAAAACGGAAGCTACGTGGCATGTTCAGCTTCCAAAAAGCATTCAAAAACCAAAGCACTTACTTCTGGGTTTTCGGCATTCAAAAATCCAAACATTTGACTTATGAGAACTGAGGTACCGCTGTATATGTAACTTTCACTTTCTCCCCAAACAACTGAAAAGATTATTTTGGCAGAGCAGAGCATATCCATCCCATTTAGTCTCCCCCTGTCCCTTTCTGGGAATTTCAGCCTTCTCTTTTCCCCTCTTGGGGTAAGAATAAATTCCATCATTGACTGCAGATAGCTTTGCATGCACCCAACTGCTCTTCACCTCAATGGAAATGGGCCTAAAGCGAGGGAATGCCCAGATGTGGTCCAGGTGAAACATTATCTTGGACACAAAAGAAGGTCTGTTTTGGGTTGAAATGGTTGGAAAAAGCTTTTATAAAGCTTGTCAGGGTGCTGCCACCTTGTCAGACCATAAGACACACCTAGTTTTTGGAGGAGGAAAACAAGAAAAAAAATATTATGAATCCCAGAAGCCAGAACAGCAAGAGGGATCGCTGCGCAGCGCTCCCTCTTGCTGTTCTGGCTTCTGGGATAGCTGCGCAGGAGGGGAAAAGTGTGTCTTATAGAGCGAAAAATTACGGTATGTATTTTTACATTTTATAGTTTTGACCCATGTGCCCGGTGATTGGGGGAAAATGCAAAGTGCATGGAATGAGAACTTGTCTCAGGGGCATTTGTAGAAACTCTCTTGAGAAGCTAGACTGAGGTCCAGAGTGTGGCTTCAAAATTGGCTGGTGTCAACTTAAGGGGCAGAGGAGCACAACGCTCACCCCCCCCAAATCACTTTTTAAAACACATGTAGGTTCCACAACACCTGCATTGATGTTGCAAAATGCATATCCTCGCTCAAACCAAAGCCCTAACTTTTTTAATAAAAGGTTTTAGCTGTCTCCTAGTTTCTAATTTCCAATATCTTGACTTCATGAGTTGAATTCTGCTGCTTTACTATGGTGGCTACCCAACCCTCCCCCCCAAAAAAAGTTACCAAATTCAGCAATAGTGTTGTCTAATTTTCTGGGTGTAAGAAGCTGAGTTCATTGAGGGTGTGAGGGAGGCAGTTGTGCCCAGTGAGGGATTTGCCTCTGGGGAGCCATCTATTAATTAGCTCAGTGGCTTCCAGAAGACATGCGTGACTTTTGACTTTGCTCATTCAAAGCCTTGCCAGCCTTCAGAGCATCAGCCACTGACTAACTTTCCCAGTCATCCAAAGATTCATTGTCTAACAGTTTAGAGCTCTTGAAAACTACATGTAACTTAAGGTCAAAAATCTTGATTGGGATAGCATTCTTCAAATTTGCTAAAATGCATAATCTAATAAAAATACATAAAGCGATGCATAGCCTTCATATGGTTCAGGATATTATGTCTGCGTAAGAATTTAATTTCTGTAGATGTGCATCAAATATATTTTTCATTATTAGTTTGTCCGTTGGCTTCAATATTGTATGTTTTCAACCCCCCCCCCACTTCCCCCCTCTTTTTCTTTTTACAGATATTAATGAATGTGAGAACAGGGATGCTTGTCAGCATGATTGCAGGAATACCTTAGGGAGTTACCAGTGTTTCTGCCCAGCTGGCTATCAGGTTATGCCCAATGGCAAAACGTGCCAAGGTGAGAAAATAAAGGAAATATTATATGAGAAGTATAACATTTGCACCATCCACCTCATAAATGCCTTTGCAGACAGAAGCCACGAAGCAGAAGTTAGATTAGCCTGCTGCAGCTGATGTTGAGACCACTGTAGGTAGAAACTATCATAAGATATTAATTACCGTATTTTTCGCACCATAGGATGCACTTCTTCCCTCCTAAAAAGCAAGGGAAAATGTGTGTGCGTCCTATGGAGCGAATGCAGGGGGAGGCAGGGGGGGAAAACCCCCAAGAGCCGCACACAGTCCCTTCTCCCACCTCCCAGAAAGCCAGGAGAAGCCGCAATCTCTTTAAAGGAGTTGCGCGGCTTCTGTGGGCTTTTGCGAGAGGTGAGGGAATCCCCCCACCTCCCAGGAAAGCCAGAAGAAGCCGTGCAGCCCTTTTAAAGTGCGCGCGGCTTCTGCCAGTTTTGCGGGAGGTGGGGAATCCCCCCACCTCCCAGGAAAGCCCTGCGCAGTGTCTCCCGGCAAGGAGAGGCTGCATGGGGCTAAAGGGGAAGCCAAAACAGCGAGCGAGATCCATCCAGCTCGCTGCCTTGGCTTGCTCCATAGCTGCGCGCAACCCCTCCGGCAAGGAGAGGCTGCACAGGGCTATAGGGGAAACCAAAACAGCGAGCGGGATCCATCCCGCCCCCTGCCTTGGCTTGCTCCGTAGCTGCGCGCAACCCCTCTGGCAAGGAGAGGCTGCACGGGGCTATGGATTCTTTAGCTCCATGCAGCGTCTACCGGGAGGGAGAGGCTGCACGGGGCTAAAGGGGAAGCCAAAACAGCGAGCGGGATCCATCCTGCTCGCTGCCTTGGCTTGTGCCATAGCCGCGCGCAACCCCTCCGGCAGGGAGAGGTTGTGTGCAGCCTGTACGCTGCGCTTTGGGGCTGGGGGGGGAGATTTTTTTCTTGATTTCCCCCCTAAAAACTGGGTGCGCCCTATGGTCCAGTGCGCCCTATGGTGCGAAAAATACGGTAATTAAATGGTTGTCCTTATTTATGCCTGTGGAATGTATCATTTCAGGGTTCTCTTTTGGGAAGGGCAGAACTGCCCTTCATTATAATAAGCAAGCGGTATTGTATGCCAGATTTGCATAGCAAAAAGCCCCTTATTTATTTCTATGCTTTATTTCCTAAAGCTCTGTCCATCCCTATGTACAGCCTTATGTTTTTATTATTGGTAAGAAACCTTTGCTTTCTATGGGCTGGGAGAGTTTTTAGTTTACTTGTTACTATGTGGGTGAAACATAACCTGAAATCAATGAGTTGCTTATCTGACGTTATCTGTTGTTTTCCTTTGATAACCCATCAGATATAGATGAGTGCCTTGAACAGAACATCCACTGTGGACCAAATCGTATGTGCTTTAACACGAGAGGAAGCTATCAGTGTATAGATACGCCTTGCCCGCCAAATTATCAACGAGATCCTCTTTCCGGGTATGTTTCCTATTCGGTCATGTTAGTTTCTCCAGATTGCTTTTTTGATTGATCTCCTTAACGTTTGCATAAGAGGCCAGTCCATGGAATAGTCTTATATACACTGCAACTCTTCCTTCTGACCTCAGAAGAGCTCGAATTATGTGTTGGCTAAGTTTCTTCTAGGCTTTCACCAGCACACACTGTGCCATGTGTTGCTCCAAAAGAACTCATTGACTCTTTTGGCATAGCCTCCTATAGATTAGGACAGGCATAGGCAAATTTGGCCCTCCAGCTGTTTTGGGACTACAACTCCCATCATCCCTAGCTAACAGGACCAGTGGTCAGAGATGATGGGAATTGTAGTCCTAAATCATCTGGAGGGCCGAGTTTGCCAATGCCTGGATTAGGAGATGTGGAATCTGGATGTCACTGGACTACAACTCCCATTATCCCTAACCCCTGGCCCCCAAGGGGGCTGTTAGAGACCTCTGGGCATAATTCAATGGACTGGGTTCTGCCGGTCCTCCAGGGATCCTTCCTTTGTATCACACTCTGATCTCTATGACCAGCAGGAAAGCTGCCTTAATTTACCCATCCATGCACCATATATGCATGTTGGTAACATTTTATGAATTTATTTAAAATATCTGTGCCTTGCCTTTCCACCTCTTAACAAAGCTGGATCTTCAAGGAAACCTTTAAACAACACCTAGTGAGGTTCATTACTTCCCTATTGTCGGGGAACTCCATTAAGCATGTGTTGAATGCACCAAAAAGCCATTTAACTTACCTGATCTTTGGTGGCTAGGTCTTAGCTGGTAGAGGAAGAAATAATTCTTCAATTTCTGTTTGTCTTAAGTGGTTTTTCAGTGTCTTCGGCTGAAAGAAAGTGGATTTTTAAAAATCTGCCCACACTTCTTTAGCTAAAGGAGTAACTTAGGCTCAAATTATAGGCTATGGGGAGACATAGACACCTGACACACATCTCACCGTTATTATTTGATATATGTGACATCATACTAGCTTTTGCCTCTCCTTCTAAGCATTAGGTGAACACAGTGGTGCGATATGCAGGAAGATGCTAATGTTGTCCCATCACATCATTCATTTTTTTGATTACGTGTTATCAGGGAGATGTAGGAAATACCCATTCATTCTCCCAGAACCTGTAGTTTGGGCCTGGTTTATTGTGCCACTTTCTGAAGAACAAAGGGCTTTTGTTTTGTTTTTACAAAAAAAAGGCATATAAATTTTAAATAAATAAAATCACAGGCCTATGGTTTTTATCTTTTACCTGAGAGTGGTGCTATGTGAATTAAAAGGCACAATTGCTTCACTGTATATTGCTGTTCAGATGCAGTCATGGCCCAGGCCTTCATAGTTGTGTTTATTTTAGGTTCTGCCTCAAGAACTGCCCACCCAACGATCTGGAGTGTGCCTTGAGTCCTTACGCCTTGGAATACAAATTTATGTCCCTCCCGTTTGGCATCGCTGCCAATCAGGATTTAATCCGACTAGTTGCTTACACTGAAGACGGAGTGATGCACCCGAGGACAACATTCCTCATGGTGAACGAGGATTTGACAATTCCTTTTGCACTCAGAGATGAGAACTTGAAAGGAGTGGTTTACACAACCAGGCCTCTGCGGGAACCAGAGACGTACAGGATGAGAGTCAGAGCTCTGTCTTACAGTGTGGACGGAGCCATTGAATATCAAACAACCTTCATCGTTTATATAGCCGTGTCTGCCTATCCATACTAGGAAAAGCACTGCCGACAGTAATCAAAGTATGTTAATCACATGCCTATGTGCCGCTGGGTGTCACCACTTCCAGAATCACTGTCCCTTATCTTAAAACAGACCTTGCAACTTGTGGGGGGAGAATGGTGCTATGTTCTACCCTTATTTCCTTCCCTCTGGCTGCCAATCTGTTGCCATTATTCCATCTTGACAAAAATGACCATAATCCACGATTCCTTGGAATCTTAACCACTTGCTTTATTTATTACACTGGAGCAGTCACTTCTCAAAGATTGTTCTGCTGACTCAGAACTAGTTAGAAGCTCTAATTAGGTGGTAATTTGGTGGTCCCAAAGTGGTAGGCAAGTATCTCCTTGATATGCAAAGAGAACAAAAGTGCCACAAAGATTTTGAAAAACTTAATGCTGTCCTCGTTGTCTTTTCTTACCACAGTGAAAAACACAATTTTCTTGATATTCACAAACACTCAATTAAGACACTACTAGCAGGTATCACCGCTGAGGGCTGTTACACACATTACACAGAAGCAAACTTTGCACAAAGCCCCAATGTGCAAATTGAAACTGGCAAGGTGGCCCCACAAACAAAGCTCCATTCTGCATTGGAAACAAAGCCATGCTTCAGTACCACCACCCCATAATATTATTATGTGGGGCCCTTACCTAGTCTTCAGTGAGCAGCTAGAAGTGGGGAAGCAGAAATAACATCCTCCTTTTCCTTCTACAGTCAAACCTTGGAACTCGGAACAGCTCCATTGCTGAATGTTTCAGTTCCCGAACGCCAAAAACCTGGAAGCAAGTGTTCCGGTTTTTGAACATTCCTCAGAACTCGAACGTCTGACGCGGCTTCTGCTTCAGTGCAAGAAGCTCTTGCAACCAATCAGAAGCCACGCCTCAGAACGTGAACATTTTGGAAGTCGAACGGTCTTCTGGAACGGATTACGTTTGACAACCAAGGTTTGACTGTACTCTACAAAGGAAACAAGAAGTAGTTCTGGATTCCCGTCCTTCCCTCAGATCACATAAACGTTTCTGGTGCCACCTTAACTGAAGAGGAATGCAAACTGCCTTCTTTTCACTGTCCCAGTAAGGGGAGGTTGTGTGTATTGTCATGAGAACAATACCCAGAATTGTTGGGCTCAATCAGCCTCAAATTCTTAGTTGAAGCCCAGTGTGGGCAAGCCCTTGGCTTGCCATCACAAGTACTCAGCAAGCAACTGCACCCATTTCCAGCTGTATGAGACTTGTACCTTTGTGACATGTGTGCCTTCAAACAACTGTCACTTAATCTTTTTAGATATATGCTTACAAAGAACCCTTTGTAGGGATGAACAGATACAAGCAGAATCCAGGTTGGGGCCTGCTCTTGGAAGGCTTTTCTCACAGCAATTCAAGAATAGTTGAGCCCATCTGCTTTGAATTCTTGTCCCCCGCTTAGTCCTTAGTAAATGATTGCATAGTAACATTCCTCTTACACAAACATTAAAACTGTTTAATGCAATACATTTGAGTTCTGTAGTACGCTTTATGAGGTGCACAGTTTGGGAACACTAAAGCAGGGAATCCGTGGTGGACTGTGCATGCAAAGAAAAACAGCTTCTTCCCCTTTAAAGGCAGACAGAAGAAATTTGATTAGATGGAATTTTTGCCTACCCCCAAAGAGGTTTCTTAAAAAGAAGAAAAGTCTAGCAAGTTTGGTCAAGCAACGTGTTAGGTGTCAATACACTGTATAAGGTGGTAACAAACTCTGGAAGTAATTTTTGCCAAGATGTATTCTATTTTTATGAAAGTATGTGTACATATATATATATAAAGTTTTGTTTGCTTGTGTGTATTTTCTATGCAATATTGAGAAGGGGTTTTTTCCTAAAAAAAAAAAGAGAGAAAAAAAGAAAAAAATGTTTTTACCAAAGAGTGTTGTTTACACATGGAAATAACCAAAATAAATGTTCACATTCTTTTTTTAAATTAAATATGTCAAGACAGCTATGCTGTGTTTATTATTCAGAGTTTTCACACTACTCTTATTCAGGAGGGAAATGGAAAACAAGGGACTACTTTGTCATATAAATTCCTTAATCTGTGTCCCCCTCTGAATTCATTTACATTACTCCTGAAGGCTAGAGTAAAAAGCAAAGGAACTATATCCTGATGAATTATCAACATTGCAAGTTCCCTACATCTCATTTGGAGTGAGTGGTGGGGAAATTCTGCATATTTTCTATCTGTCTATATGCATTTCCATGCAAGGCTGCTGCGGACTCCCCACCTTATATCCTGCACAATGGAATGCAACAATAAATGACTCCCAAGAAGGAACAGGCACAACAATCTTTGCCCAAAAGCACCAAAATGGGGAGAGGGAGGCATGGAAGACTGCAAAAGGGACAGAAATATAAAAGATCTGTGTATCAATTTAAAGACCTGTCAACTGCATCAGTAAAATCTTATTCATTTGATCAACTTCAGTAACACTTGGCTCCTGTCAGTTGCTTTGCATGATGTGGAGGAACATCAGCAGAAAATATCTTAAGGTGGACTAAATTATATTTTTTTTCAGACCAGCATGTTTTGATTACTTCTTCATTGAGGCACTGTAAAACAAAATTGACCCCACCACTTGACCTTCCATCATACATGTCATCTCTTTCATCAGTACCACACCGACTTGCATTTATTCGTGCAAGGTTCAATGTCCTTCCATCGAACCTGCTGAGCCACAGATTTTCCAAGGGTTTGGTGTCTCCGCTATGCGTGTGTGACGGGAAAACTGTTGAATCTCTTCCACATATAATGTCCAACTGTCCCCTACATAGCATAGCCAGGACTAAATTCCTGGGCCCTGCTTTACTGCGCTTGGTTGGCAGGCCTGTTGAGTCACACGCCGCACTGCTTTTGCAGGATACAGATCCTTCTGTTACTCTGCAGGTGGCGAGATTCCTGAATGCGGTTATCTCACACGCAAAAACCACCAAAAAACAACAACAACATCAAAATCTAATCGGACAGTTATGATGAGAGTGCATGTCGGATCTCGTCTTCAGTTTTCCTTTTTCTGTGAACCGTCCCTTGGAGCTCTCCGGGCCCCATCCTGTTATTTGGCTCTGCCCAATGACCCACCCTTGCATCGCAGTGTTCACCTTCTGTTGTCAGATATTTCGGGTTTTAAGCCTTTGTGCTTTTTATGTTTGTACATATTTTATGGGCTAATAGCCATAAATAAATGAATGAATGAATAAATAAATGAATGAATGACCTTGCCAACAAAGGTCTGTATAGTTAAAGCTATGGTTTTCCCAGTAGTGTTGTATGGAAGTGAGAGCTGGACCATAAAGTAGGCTGATCACCGAACAATTTATGCTTTTGAATTATGGCACTGGAGGAGACTCTTGAGAGTCCCATGGACTGCAAGAAGATCAAACCTCTCCATTCAAAAGGAAATCAGCCCTGAGTGCTCACTGGAAGGACAGATCCTGAAGCTGAGGCTCCAGTACTTTAGCCACCTCATGAGAAGAGAAGACTCCCTGGAAAAGACCCTGATGTTGGGAAAGATGGAGGGCACAAGGAGAAGGGGATGACAGAGGACGAGATGGTTGGACAGTGTTCTCGAAGCTACTAACATGAGTTTGACCAAACTGCAGGAGGCAGTGGAAGACAGGAGTGCCTGGCGTGCTCTGGTCCATGGGGTCACGAAGAGTCGGGCACAACTAAACAACTAAACAACAACAAAATAACACACTGTTTTCAGTGTGTTCTTTTTCAATTGTTGTTGAACTGCATTGTGCTGAATAAAGTATAATTTGGTGCAGCCTTGTAAATACGCCCCCCCCTTACTTGCCTAGAAGAAAAAGTACTAGCCTACTTAGGGTGGGTAGAGGAAGAAGCAGCAGCCCCCCCCCCTCCTCTAGCATCCCTCTGTATTTTGTGATGGCCTTTAAAGGAGTGGCATTCCCTCCTTTGATAGCCCACACCATTTCTGCTGAGCGCAGAGGAGATATGGAGCATCCTTCCTTTGCCAACTCTCTACATATTTACATTAAGACAAAACACACTCATTTGCTTGGGTAGAATCCAGGGCACGCGCCTGCGTACAATTCCTCATCACCTGTGGCCACCAGGTGAGTGCTCAAATACAGGACAGATTTAGTGTACCTTTTTAATACATTGGTGCCTTCCTCCTTTGCACAACATGCCTGAGCAACAGTCAGCATGATCTACACACTATTTTGGGATGCTTACATCTCAGTACAGTGGTACCTTGGTGCTCGAACGGCTTGGCTCCTGAACAAATCAGCTCCTGAACGCCGCAAACCCGGAAGTGAGTGTTCCGGCTTGCGAACGTTTTTTGGAAGCTGAACGTCCAGCGTGGCCTCCGCGGCTTCCGATTGAGTGCATGACGCTCCTGCAGGCAACCAGAAGCCACGCCTTGGTTTTCAAACGGTTTCGGTAGTCAAACGGACTCCCGGAACAGATTAAGTTTGAGAACCAAGGTACCACTGTAGCTACTTCACTTCTCTTCATCAACTTTGGGATCCATTTTTAACACAAAAGATCTCCATGTAGTTACTCTTTAAATGAAAAGTCATGAACCTTTATTTCTGACCCTCAGTAACCAATTACAAAAGGTGAGAGGGAAAAGCAAAGCTTTTGCTGCCAGAGCTTTTTTTTTTTTTTTGGCTCAAGTCTATATTGTGCCAAGCATGATACATCTCCTTTCCGGTTAGGTCCAGCCTATGTTGTGCTGACTCATCTTCACACCATGCAATACAGGCAAGGCCAGGACAAATAGTCCTTATTTAAGCACAGCTTTCATCAGCAAGCCTCCACCAATGTTATACAATGATGTCACAACACATCACAGGCAAGAGGGTACTAACATGAGCAAATGACAAATTTGGTTGCTGCCAGTGGCAGATCAAGAGCAGCTTTGGGCATTAAAGCACAAGAAACTGGAAATGTTTCATCATAACCTCACAGCCAGAGGGAAGGGTGCATGTTCCATGCGCAGAGACAAGGAATGTCTCCTGGTTGTAAACTGTCTCACATACTTTTTAGAGACAGGTGGTATATAAATCCTGCTTGCAACTAAATACTTAAAAATATCTCTCCGTCAGGAAGGTGCAAGTGCATACACTGTTTTAGATGTTAAAAGAAACGCAAAACATAGATGTGCTGACACACAAGTCCCTTGCTTTTCCTGTTCCCCCAGTTTTCTGTTCCCACTGTTTCTTCATAACTTCTGACAATGCCCAAACTCTAAGAGGATGCCAGTCTACAGCTTATATAGCTATGAATACAACTAAGGTGCAGCTTGTGGACTTCCTGTGTTGCATTCTACACACAAGCTGAAATACCCCAAGACAAAATGGGTGAAGGGTGTGCATGTGTGCAAATTGTTCTTTCCCCAGTCCAAACTCAAAAACCTGGCAATCTGTAGTCTTCAACATTCCCAGAACCGGGAAAGACCTACTGATATTTCTCACCTGTCAGCTTCACTGCATGATTCACTGGTCTGACCTTGTCGCCTATCAGCCAGCCTCTGGGGATGGGTGATTCTGCTATATATTTCTACGTTTGATGTGGTGGTCCGTTCATGCTCAGTGCAGAAGATACAGAGGAAGCTGAAAAAGATGCTGCTTTTTCACCGTATGTCTCCATTTAAGAAGGTCCCTAACCTTACCCCGCCTTTCCCCCCAAATGAGGATTGATGGCCCAAAGGAAGCATTTGGAAGGGTGTAAATCCCAGAAGCACCGGCCAAATCGATCTCGGGGCACGATTCCCTGGTGGAGCAGGAAATGGAATTTTGGCAAAGAAACAAGAACATGCTTTAAAATATGGGCATC